AGAAAATAATATATAAGCCAATACCAAACTACCCATTATGTCTGGACCGCTCGTTGAATCATTTGGAACGATGAACCAAACAGAGTAAAACTGTTATAACTTTATCTCAGCTGATTATCATGGATGTATATTATAGATGTTCTTGCGTTAGTGGAATTCTTTCTTTTATGTTCTATTCATAAATAGAGAAACGCAAACTTCCTGCGAAATTTGTTTATAGGCTGTATCTAACATGAATCGAGAGGGGAACAGAGAGTTATCATTTTGAGCTGCTTTAGTCATTATTATCATCGTCACTGTCTATTAATTCATTTAATTCATCGTTCTTGATAGTGTCATTCGATACTTAGAAAAAGTGGAAGTCGCTCGATGAGATGACTTGAAATAACTTAAAATGAAAAATAAATGAAAACTATAATATACACTCATAATAATAAGCCGAGATAAAGTTATAACGATTTTACTCTGTTTGGTCCATCGTTCCAAATGGTTTAACGAGCGGATTAAACCATTCACTGTTAACGTCTTATCTCATTTGTTTTTCATTTCAAGTTATTTCAGATCATCTCACCGAACGACTTCCACTTTCTCTATCTCCTTCATCACGTCTTTTCTGATCCCTGAATGGTATTTTGTTATTGTTTATATATAGAGACTCATCGTGTTGATTTCGTTTCTCTTATCTCTTTAGTACCTCATCGTAAAAATACTGGTCACACATCATTATTACTATTATTTTTTTCAGTTATTTTTCTTCTTTTTTAACTAGTTTAAACTGCACTCTTCGTTCAGTGGCTAGTCTACTTGCTAATTGTTTTAGTGTCAGTTGAAAGACTAATGGTTCCAAATCCCTAATCAAAATCCTAGACAATCCTACCAGGATCTTAACAGGATCCTAATTGAATCTGGGTGACCGAAAAGTTCTAGGATTTGATAGACTTCGTCTAAGATTTTATTAGGATCCTATTCTCTAGCGTCTAACCTTCCTAGAGAATAGGATCCTAATAAAATCCTAGACAACAAAGTACAGCTTAAGACGAGACAGGGTGCCTAAACTATGTAATTATGCAGATAAAAGTTCTTTTTTTCGGTTGTCCTTTTTCCCGACTGCTCTTAGAGAATGGTCTGATCTCATCTCAACACATCTGCAACTAAGTGTTAGACAAAAGCCTGAGACATTTCGGAAAGAGTTAAAAAACATTGTACTTCCACCTACCAATAAATTACCATATATATTACATCGTCGAGCTGATGCACTATTTTGCCGCTTAAGAGGGGATCTCCGCGCTTAACTTCCATCTCAAACAACATAAACTTGTTTGTAAAAAATTTCTGCGATAGCTGTTTTTCTCTGTCTCCGTCAATAAAGGTTGTTGAAAATCCAAAACACTATCTCTTGGAATGTCCAAAGTACGATCGAGCTCGAGCAATTCTGGCTATTCAGCTGAATAATCTAGGTCTTAGTTTAGATATTGATACACTTCTACTTAGAACACATTTATCCAGTGATCTCTTGATATCTGTGTGTCAGTTTGTGGGTGATTTTATTACTGCCAGTAAGCGTTTCTAACAGACTACGTCCTCTACTTTTTCACTTTTACAGATTTAACTGATCCACTCCCTTGTTTCTAAAACGCCAATATTAGATACTTTTCTCCTATTGACACAGTTTCCTTCATCTATTTTTATTGCTCTCACTTTGTGTTCTTTTCTTCTTTCTCTAAGTCCAACGTTTTTCTTTTCTTTTTGTCCATTTTTATTTTATGATGATGTTCTGTTTAAGGATTCCTCTCAGGAGATACAATGTAGTCCTCAGGACAACGATTTCACTTGTTTGGTCTTCTTTTCTTGTTTCTTTTCTTTGATTTCTTTAAATAAAAAGCTTAAACTAAATCCTAGACAAATTTTGTCAAATCCTAGAACTTTCCGGTCATTTTGTTACAATTCTAATAAATTAAAGCGAAATGCTAGTAGGATATTGGTAAGATAGGTCTTGAATCCTGTCCGGAAACTCATAGGGATTTCACTAGGATTATATGTTAAGAAGAAATTTCTTTGGACTGAACCGTGAAGAAACTAATGTTTAAACTAAAATGAGGTAGAGTTCATCGAAAACGATGAGGGAAAACTCTGAAAAGTCAACGGTTGAAATTTTATTATTAATGATTGAAGTTGTCGTCATGATACAGTTTTTCTCATCATATGTCTGCCAGGGATTCTTATGTATTGTTTAAAAAACGAAAATTTTGTTTAATTTGTGTATTTTAATTTAATTTAATTAATTGTTTGTATCCACAGATGAGGACTGAGTTAGTCATTCGAAACGTTTGGAAATAAATAAATAAAGTTTATTACGAAGGAAAAATAATTATTTAAAAGAGTTGATAAAACCATTATAATCTAAGGAGATCAAAAGAAACTGAAAGAAATTAAATTAAACTTTTGTTTTGTTCATATTTCTTGTTGTAACTTATATATATCTTCTTGGCTACATTTTCTTTATATTCTTTTTGTTGCCTGTCTACTAATTAATTTGACGATCATCAAAAGGCTTAGTTTTTGGCGATCATTTAGCAATGGATAAAATCTGGTGAGCAAAAATATTGATACACTTTTTATATAAGAGAATGACATTTTCTATACCGAAACATTGTAAGTTTTTCTTAGTATCTTTAACATTTTATCGCTATTTTATCAAAATGTTAACGTTACATGCTGTTTTTTAAAATTTATTTAACATGTGTATATTTAGTGTGATTAGATATCGAATATTATTCACTTCTATTCTGAAGGATCGTCTAAAAGATCTAACACTGAAATTATTGCTTGTTCAATTATTGGCAGATATCGTAATCATTTGTATGACAATCTATTTTATTCGCAAAACTCATATTAATAAACAGCTATCTCAAACTCAAAATACTTTATCATTTACCAATCATTATTCATATTATGTTCTTAACGATGCTCTTTATACCAGAGACAGGATGGTCCGGGTCAGGTCCAGGTCAAATGTCCAGACCTGACCTAGCAAAAGCGGACTTTGACCTGCAAGACGTGAACTTGGAAAAGGGGACCTGGACTTTGACCTGAACCTCTACCCGTGACCTGTCGGCATAAGCAACATATCAGCCATCGACTATATCTAGCAGTGTGAAACTGAATTATTTTATACACATTTTCTCTCCTGTTCGAAATTCTGAGAACAATATGAAAAATCGTAATAACCTTATTGCCTAAAGACATTTTTGTTCAAAATATCTATCACGTGCTTCTCATATATTCTAAGAACTGTTCTTAAACTCTAGTACAGAATATTGTAAATTCGCACTATCAGAATTTTTTCATGCAACGGACCCAGCGTCCAGGTCACAAGTTCAGGTCATAGGTCCAGGTTCAGGTCAGGTCCAAGTCTAGGTCTATTTTTTTCAAGTGCAGGTCCACAGGTCCAGGTTCAACTTTATAGGTCAGGATCAGACCCGAGGCAAAATTGTTCATTAGATCGAATAACAATAAGCTACCTTACAGTTAAACTTTCTAGTTTCTCCTACAAGTTTTGACCTTGACCCGCACAGGTCACAGGTCAAGGTCTAGGTATCCTGTCTCTGCTTTATACTATCGATGAACTTATTTAGAACCTAGAACATCAGGTATTTTAAGTCATACAATAACGGCACATTATGAAAACATATCATAAGTCTATCTACCCTTAAAACATAGATATAAGTGCAAACACAAAGTAATATATTCATAAATTTTTCATCTCTTCTAAAATGACCTAAAAAATTTTCTGTTAACTCTGACCATATTGAGTTCAACCTTACAATAGTTTATTTCTATCTAGTATTTTATTGAACTAAAAAGAATGAACAAGTTTTTTTACTTCTACTACTTTACATAAAAAGCGAACTAAAATTGAATTTTTTCTAGTCAAAGATACACGTTGACATGTGAAAGAATGGTAACAAGAAAAGAAACTGTAGGGAAGTAATAAATATACAAATCCATATCCTAAAACTCGAGAAAAAATTGTCTATTAATTGTCGATTTTTTCCTAGATGCAATAAAATCTAGGAAAAAAATTGTTGATTAATCCTCCAATTTCGCCCGGTTAGTTACGATCAATCGCCATTTTTGTCAGTTTTCTTCACGGACTACCAGGTGGAAAAGACGAGTTCAAATCTCTCTCTGATCCTTTCGTTTTTTGTGTTATTATTTGAACTCGGAATCATTTCACAATTTATTTTTATTCCTGGAGCTGACTCAAATGATTCAGGCAGCCTGACTCAGCTTCAAACTGCCTCATCCGCTGTAGTCTTGACTGCGTTAAGTCTGACTCATGAGACAGCAACTCCTAATCAGTCAGGCTCTGTCTTGCCAAAGTTCACACCTCAATATCAGTAGAGAAAAGATATTCCGAATATCTTCAAAAATTGGTATTGTTTATATGTAACTGCAACAGCTGAAAAACAAAGCGGCGAATGGATGAAAAAATCTTCGATTAATTGAGGTTAACCGGCGATTTTTTTCACGGATTACGATTAATTGGTAAAATGTAGGCGATTTCGGCGATATGAGAAAACACAACAAAAACAAAAAAAAATTCAACATTAAAAAGTGGTGAAAAAATTAAAATATTACAAAACAGAATCGCCTAAAACGGTACAACAATTACAAAATGTTTAGAAAAACTGAACTTTGGACACACGCGTCAACACATCTAGACAAAATGAAAATGGAAAAGATTACAGGATTATTACTCTCTATTCGGAAATGAAATGACTGGGTTTCGGCGAAATTACCAACGAATAAAAAAAAATTGATTATCATATATTGTTCTGCACAATTTAAAAAACGAAGAAAAAACAGCAACTACACAATTCACAAACGAGCTTAAAAAAAGTTTCCTGAATTACAATGTGGAGAAGACAATTTTGATACTTTACAAAATTGGTATCATATTATCTCTTTAGCGATTATATTTTCTTAATAGTGGTATTCTAACCTTTATTTTCTGTTAATAATGCATCTACTCGTTCCCAGTCATCTAATTCGTCTTCTTCCTCTTGATCTCCTTGTTCTTCTTGTGGTTTTTCAGATTGACCATTGTCTTCTTTTAACGTTAGATTTGACAATATTTGATCGCTCCATGTATCGGTCGGTTCTGTAATAACCGAACGTTTTTCCCATGATGCTGGCTTTTTCGAACGTTCTTTAGCTTGTTCTTGTATGTCTAATTCTTCAAAATCAGATTTTAACCAATCTAACATATCAGAAAATACAACAGCACCTTGTTCTGTCTCAGAATCAAGTTTTGATAATATTTCACTTTGAGCTAATAATGCAAATAAATCATCGCGAACTAAAAGAGAGAAAACAACTTGAATCCTATAAGCTTAGTAATGATAAATTTTGTCAAAACAAACAGAACAAATTGAGTTGAGTCTTACCATCTTCTTCCTTTTCTTCTAGATATTGTTGATATTGTTCATGTATTTTATAATGTTGTTTCATTCGATATGTGCTTGGTATATATTGTTTACATATTTTGCATACTCGTTTTTTCAAATCTTTTTTAACTGATGAACAACAATAATCGAATGGTAATTGATCATTAAGAGTATATTGAATAACAACACCATGAAATTGAATACGATGAAATAATGAACCATAAAACTGATTTTTCATTTTATCCTCTTTAGCCATTATAATACCTGTACATAATAATAGACATGTCTGAAGTGAAAAATATAGATTTATAAAATTAAATTGTCTTACCCAAAGGTGTACGTTCAAATGGCATTGGTGGTGGTAAAAATCGATGTGGAAATATTTGAACATAATTTGATCTCCATTTTCCACAACATAATGGATCGTTACATCGAACGATTTGTATTGTATATTGTGTTTGAAGAACATGAGTACCACACCAATACTCATCGAGTTCATATTTAACAGATTCGTTTGTTAATTCTTCTTCCAATTGAGCGGTTTTCACACGACATTTTTCCAAAAAATATTCATCCGATGTGTTCTCACTAATTTCAACTCCTTCTTCTTCAGCAATACACAGTCTAAAAACAAAAAGTAACATACAACGAGGTTGTAAACATTAGATAAGTAGTACAACGTTGACGGACTAAGTCTAATATTTTAATGTATACAAAACACTATATTTCCTTGTCTCATTAGATCGGCAGAATAAAGTGTGATTAACAAAATTCACTACTGCTTTATCTTACTGTTAACACCTATTTATTAAAGAAAACAATAGGATAAACTAAAAATAGCAAAGAAGCAGGACTGTAGTAGCTAAAATGTTTCTATTTTGAAAAAACATATTTTGATGGTGTCGTTCTAGAATATTCATTTTTTTAACACTCTTTTCATTTATTCTTGAAAAAACATATCAATCTAATCGAGACATTTTAAATGCTCTTTCGCTCGATACTGACAGCAGATTCAAACTGTTTTTAGTCGACTGCCTTCTACGCAGCACATTTTGAGTCGAGATATTTCTGAAATAATTTTTTCATTGTATTGCCACTCATGAAGGAGACTAAAGGCTAAACGGCTGCGTGAAGTTTTTCAGAAGTACCTGGATCAAAAATATATTGCATAGAAGGCAGTCGACTATAGAGAGTCGGAATATGCTGTCAGTATCGACCAAAAGAGCATTTGAAATTTCTCGATTAGGTTGATATGAGTTCATCTCAATCATATAGTTCAAAACTATATCCCTCTCTCTATTTAAAAGCAGTATTTCTAACTTATTATGAATTTGACGCGAGCTAAGATGGAATCAAGTGCCATCTACAAACTGATCTCCTCAACGTTCTATTACAAAGAAGCATTCATTACCAGAGATACAAAAATCATTATATTTCATATTTAATCTTAGTGCCAGCACAAACGATAATCATATGTTTATTCTTTTCAAAATAAGATGCATCGAAACAAAAGTCACCTCTGCAGAGTAATCGACAATGTGCGACCCGTTGTCATCTAGATTACTAGTTGGAAAAGGGGCTTTTAACTAGATGCGTCTGCATGTACAACTAGCAATAGTTAAATCAATAGTTGCAACTGAGGAGAAATCTAGCAATCACTCGATTATCAGATTTCCACTGTCGTTACCAATTTACTGCAATCGAGTAAAAATCTAGTAATCTAGACGAATCGGGCGATACTAGATTTTTTTGGTGCTTGAACATTTTCTGATAGAATCGTAGAGAAATCGTATACAGTCGCATTTGTAAAATAATAGCTCAACAAAAGAATTCGAGCAATATTTCAACTGATAGAAAATTCACGAGTTACAACATAGACTATCTTAAGGGGGCCTCCCCTTCTCTCAGAAAAAAACTTTTTCATCTTACATCTGATCTCGATGGCGCTTTCAGTGACTGATGCTTACTAGCTTATGCTAAAAATTCAAAATCGAAACGTTGAAGCGCTGTCGAGTTATTGCGTGAAAAGGGGCAAAATGGGGCTCTTAGTAAAAACGTAAAGGCTTTTTTGTTGGAAGGTGCAGAAAGCTGTGAGTGGCGTGAAATGAAAGTAGATACTTAAATCTAAAATTCGATCGGTGGCGATTTTTGAATCTCGCTTCCGTTCATTCCCTACACGTATTTTAATATAGCTCTGCAATATATACATACTCTAATATAACTCTGCAAGGCGAAGTCATACAAACCTGGACATCTCATTCTGATCAGAACACTCTGCTCAACATAGATCCATGTCTGTTAAAACGGACAACCTTAAAAATTTTAATTAAAATGTGAAATTTAGAAAAAGATAATTTTTAGGGCTTTCAGAAATCTTTTTCAAAAGCCTCCAAAAAGATTGAATTTTTGACAAACTGAGATGGATTCTGAAAGATGACACTTTGGGATACTGAACCGTATAGTTAGTTCAGTTTCGAAGTTTTCGAAAAAAACATCATATTCCTGAGGAGGGAGAGCCCCCTTAAAGTCTGTTTGCATTCCAAATTTTTGTCTTTTCTGAGTTAATTTAAATTTAAATAAAAAAGTATTTAAAAAATCTTTTAAATTTAAATTAGCTCAGGAACTACAAAGCAGTTTTTTTCTACACAACTTCACAGCACGTATTTTAACAAGACGAAGTTTTTTTGTTTTAGGTTCATGATTTCAAAATACTTCGCCGGTCTTTGTTCTTCAAGGTAGACAGTTTGATTTTCTAACGGAATACATGGAAAATTAAAATTTCCAAAAATTAATAACTCATATCGTGATCTAAGAGATCTAAAATTTTTTTGTCACATATGTCGATCAATGCCTTCTATAAAACGGTAGACTATAATGACACATTTAGGGTAGAGATGACTCCCTTTCCCTTTAAGTTATGAATTTCCATGGATAAGTGACAGCCGAGCGCATGATTATGAAGAATCAAACAATGCACGAGAGTAAAATCAGTAACACATGTGATGATTATGTACAATGAATTTAATTATGCCCAAAAAGAACACATTCGTTTACAGCAATTTATTACTTACACAAGAAATAGCAGTCGAACAACTTACATTCTGCCAAAGATATGAAAAATCGATGTAGAGACCGACCTGATGATTACTTTTACTATTCATCTTATAGATCGGCTTCATATACAAAATCAAAATTTCTTTTACCTTTTCATTAGACTTTCCATTGCAGAATTGACCCCAAACTCTCTTTGTTCGTCATCTGTCTTTCCTGTTGGTTCAATATATTCAGAAACAACTGGATAATCATCGAGTACCGATCCTCGCCATACCTCAGCCAGAACTTCTCCCGCTCGTTTAAAATTCGTTCTTTCTAATTCTTGATTAATCGTCATTCCATTACCATCCAAATGTGTACCAAAATGATCGTGAGGTAATATAAGACCAGCTAAATCTTGTGCTAACGGTGACATTCGACGTTCAACAACATGATAAGTTGATTGACCTGGTGCATGAGTAAGAACAAATAATGCATCTAAGTTATATTTACGAAATTTTCCAATGGCTCCGATTAATGTTTTAGTAAAACGAGGATTGTCATCTGGAGTACCATCAACCGTAATTATTACCTAAAGAAAGAAAAGTATAAAAATACCATTGTCACCATCAATTCATTGAGTAAACAGTGAATAAATCAAAAACAGCTCTAATCATTGATAGCTTGCTAATACTTACAATTGGCTTGACATTTCCATGTATATCTCTACAAGCTTTTTCAAATTCTTTTAATTTTACCAAAGTATCAAAATCTTTTGAATGTGCTGGTGCATCAGATAGATCATGTTTAGCTGATCTTATGGCTATGTATGTTGGACCTGCATAACCTACGTCACCATCGGGATTAATAATACACGCTGCATACACACTGGGTGTCAATTGATGTCGCGGTGCAATTCTTGCATTACGACTTTCAGGTTCTTTAATGTCATAATCCAAATGCATTAACATTGGCGCCTGTATTTTAGCAGCTGGTAATCCAATCGGTACTTTGCATTTATTATTTTGTGACAGGAAAAAAACGACTTCATTACCAAATATACTAGCCAAATCTTTGATATAACGAATGGTTGCTGTGGCAAAATGAGTGTCTTCATGATTATTGACTGGATCGTTCGTTTGAGCAGCAGATCGAAGACGAACAGGCACGGTACGAACATGTCGGCGACCATCAATCGAGGCAGCCCGACGCGGTACTAATCTAGATAAAACAAAGAATGTATCGTGAAGTATGAAAATATTTTCATGGAAACTTCATAACTTATTTCACCTGTAATACGATGTTGTTTGTTTGATATCATAACCTCGTTGTTTAATTGTTTCTCGTAAATCTTCCAATGTTAAACATGGGCGATACTGTTCTGATCGCCGATTATTATCCGTGGCTCCACCGCATCGAGCGATCTCTTCAATTATTTTCAGCAGATCCGGACATTGTTCTTCTGTACTAGGACGACTTGTATTCCGTTTATGAACTTTATTTAATTCTTTGGCAATTTCTGGATTTTTCTCGCATAATTGTTCGACAATTAACTTACGTTTTTTTCGAAAATTTGCTTTGGTAATCTGTTGAGCTCTAAGACGTTTCAATTCCATTGTTTTTTTCTTTCGTTCATCAAACAGTTTTTTCAACTGTTTTTTGGTGTCAGCTGTAGATAAACCCATGTTTTTTATTTGAACGAGACTAACAATTTGCTCGTTGATTGTTTTTAATTCACAATTAACGAGTTCTTGAGCTGGCGCACGAACACGATTTGAACGCTCTTTTTTACGAGGATATTTATACACTAAAATAAATAGGCGTTATTGGTGTAGGCCTCAGTATAGGGGGGTTCACACACCCCTCCCCCCCAAAAGGATATTTTTCGTCTTAAACTTATGGTCTTAGACTTATATTATGTAATTATACTACTTTTTTACTTTAAAACAACACCATGCAGTTTGCGCGTCGTTTTCTCTACTAGTGTTTATTTAACCAACCACTATATGCTTACCTTTTCTTCCATCTGGTAATATGGTAATTGTGCCTTTGAGTGGTGGAGCATTTGAAGCGGTTTGAGTAACAGTAGCAGGTTGACTATGAGTTCCCGTTGTCCATTCTTCTTCTTCTTCATCAGCAGCGTCTATTTCCTTTTCGATAATGGGCATTTGTTCTTTTTCATTATCGTCAACATCCGAGTCAGAATGTCGCCTTTTTCTCTCCATTTTCTTTTTTACTGCCAATTTTCTCTTTGCTGATTGACTCATTTCCAACGGCAACCCAGCTGCACCTGACCGATTATAAGTTTCCAAATATTCTTCAATTTTTTCACGAACACGTTCTTCATTGTGTTTCAATGCATTCCATTCAACTTGACCACTATGATGAGCAATCTAAACAAAATAAATGATAATTTTCTTTCTCTTAGACTCTTTAATACTATAGGATGCGAGATTTATTCTATGTTTTGCTCCTGCGTTCTCAAACTGAGTACTTTTTTAGGCTCTATACTGAGACATGAGTCGTTGTTAGATTAAGTAGAAAAGAGAAGATAGCCTACAATAACAAATTGTTATTGTCAATGTCCCTCGCATAGAAGCTATCAGTTTATTTTCATCTTCATCCGCTTAGAATCTAAAAACGACGAATTATCCTAGTGGAACTTCTTGTATCCAAGATTTTGGATTAAGAAATGCCATAAGATCTTGGAAAATACACTAAGAACTACGCTACAACCATGAGACATGCAATCATGTGTGGTGATAGGCTCATCCTTGAACAGCTTTGCTCAGGAAAAGGAAAATTTTCTCAGTTATATATAAGAAGGAATGTGAAACAAAACGGTGATTTAATAATTAAAGATCTTGAGCTCTTGGAAAATTCAAGACGTCAAGATCTTGACTACACGGAGTTTTACTAGGGTATTACTATTAGTTGAACTTTGCTGAATGAATTACAAAAGAACAAAGACTTTTTATCTAAGCGTATTTGCGCACTAAATTGTGAATGATGCTGATGGCATCAACGTCCATTTGTATAAAGCGTCGGCCTCATTTGCATTTTAGCTTCTCTTGACCGCAGATATTCGTTAATCATACCTCCACACACCCTTTAACATACCTGGATATCCGACCATGATGAGTATGAACATATCTGTATAGGTATTCCCACTAGTATCAATGAACCAGTCTTCGAAAGGAAGGTGTTTGATACTAAAATTACTAACTCAGGGCATATTCCCTCCCTTTTTTAAAAGATTTTCCATTTTAATTTTTTTCATAGCCAACATTTTTAATATTTTGTTCAGACGATTAAGAAGGCTCAATTGTTATCGTTTTGTTGATTTTTCTGTTGTTTCTAGTGCCTTCAAAATTTTCTCTTACATATAGTTTAATAGAGCAAAAGTGCTCTTCGCAAGCAAACATCTGCCAAAACGCAACAACAGTTTTTCGTGGAAATAGAGGCATCGCCACAGATGTTCTCGAAAAAGTGACGTATCTAATGCTCCATGGAAGTGCTCAACTAGACTAGTTGAGCATTATGAACCAACCGAAATCGCATGCGATCAAACAAAAAGAGAAAATCATATCCAAAGCTTTGTCAAAAAAATATAACCAAAAATGCATCGATTTTCTCTTTTGATATTCTATCTTCATAGAAACTTGGGTTCTATCCTTCACCAACAAAGTGAAAAAGAAGAGAGAGTATCCTTAAAGTTTTTCTAGTGTAGGCCGAGGTAGAATATCACCGCATAGCGCCACTAGTGCCGTTTTTTTAAAGTGGACTTAAACTTATTACTGAAATAGAACTTTAATTGAAGTCAATTTTATACTGTCGCTATGAAGACAACTGATGGTATTAAAGCTTTTTTAGAAGATGTACTTCTTTCTTTCACTCTTGCATCCATACGTGGTCATTTTTAGTATCGTGAAAATAATTATTTTTCTTAACAATGAAATTGTCCGTTTTGAATCGTTAAAACATTCGGTGTTTCCATTCAGTTCCACCCAATTTATAAAGATATAAAAGCCACAAAATGTCGGTACTCTTTTCGTGTGGGGCATAGAAAATTACATAAAAGCCCCCAATCCTCCCGTGCAAAAGTCATATTCTACATGTCTTTTTAGTGATGTCAGATTTCATCCTTCCGTCTAATGAACCAACGTTGACCTTGCTTTTTTCTGAATCGACAGAGCTTATACAACTGTTTCACGTGTCGCATAAAAGAACAGCCCGAGTTTTACAAGTATCGGTATTAAAAGCTTCTCCTACTACTCTCTCAGGGATACAGCAGCTGTCATAAAATGTCTGACAATGAGAAAACGACATTCAGTATATTATCTCTTCTGAACGCAAAAGAAAGC